CAATTAATTATCGCAAACTTCATATTTATTCCTACCGCGTTGTTTGTGTTTTAAGTTAAATTTATTTATTTTTTTTTTTAAGTTTACAGTTTTTTTTTTCAATATTTTAAAATCCTTAAGTTAAATTTATTTATATCTTTTTAGGGCTTATTTTTTTTTTTTTCAATGAAAAATAAATGCGATCGTTAATTTTGACCCTTTGGTACAATGTAAACCTGTAATCATATGACTACTTATACAGACTTTCACTATATTATAGGCCTAGCCTAGGACCAGGCTTCCTACTATAGTTTGGCTGTAGAGGCCTCCTAGTCCAAGACATTGTTGCAAATCCCAGCCCACATAGGCCAGACTATAATACCTAGCATAGAGCTCGTGATCGCGTACCCTGACCATCAAAAATTAGCAGACGCACTGGGAAGCGTTGTTCACGGCAACGGACTGCAGCGGAAAATTGATTCCCCATCAATTATGGAACAGGCCCACGTCATGCTTATATGATTAGTTTTGATTTACATTTCGCAGGTCTAGTGCCATACGCAGCAAAATTCCATGCCTATAGTGTCGTTGTAAAATGCATTTCAAACCATGCTGGTTTTGATTTACGTTTTGGAGAGGGCGTTTGACCAAGTCAGACCTACGTTTTGAATTTGAATTACATTTTTTTTAAAGAAATTAGAACTACATTTTGGAAAATTTGAACTACGTTTTCAAGGATTAGAATTTCATTTTGGGAAACTAGATCTACATTTTGAGAAATTTACGCCTACGTTTTGATAAATTAAACATTGAATTTTTCAATTAAACTTTGATTTTAACATGGACTATTGCTGCGTATGGCACCCCATAGAAGGCAACGCCATTCAGAGCAGTGTTTGTCTTTCCCGGTATGGGTACTCAATGGTAGACCATGGTTAAACTGCTGATGAACGCATGTCCTATATTCAGCTAAGTAATACAGGTAACGTTCTTACCAGACCCCATTATTATATGAATAATAAGAAACAACATCTAGTCAACTTTAAAATTACAAACTTTCTTATTAGTTGTTAGACGAATATCTTCGAAAAAGCGAAGCAAAGTGGTCCCTGGTTCATATGCTATTATTAAAGATACATGTTAAAAACTGACACTCCGAAATAAATATATTTTTATTAAAAATATTTTTTAAAAAATCTATAACGTTTGAACATTCCTATACACAACTCTAAGTTTCAATAATGACAGCATATTTTAAAATATCCTTTTCTTCTTTTTGACATAAATTTCTCAAACCTGCATATGTTGCGTTCAGATCGGATTAGTTGAGTTGTACAAGCATTATGGCGTAATACCGAGCGCAATCATTGGCCATAGTGTTGAAGATGTTTGAGCTGCTTATACGTCGGGTCTTCTTACTATGTCCGTTGCTGTTAAAATCATCTTTAAAAAAGGACATCTCAGGGTAACAAACAAGTGTTTCAGGAACTATGTCTGCAGTTTACCGTTTTCTGGTTTATGTTATAATAGCACCGTTTGACAGCAAGGTATACCAAACCCTTCCGCAAGACTTCGCCCCATTGTTTGTTTGTTTTTTTTTTGTTTTTTTTTTGCTAAAGTGCCACAAGTTGATAGCATAAACGTACAAAGTAAACACGTGCATTTTTTAGACAACCATGTGTGTGCGTAAGTCAAGCGCGCCTTCTTTGCCTTGGTCTGATTGGTTAATTTTTAAAAGTTTGATTGGCACGCCTGATAGGTCTGGTATAACACTCTGAATACATGTTTGCGCTTACAAATCAATGTTCATCTTGTAATGATTGTGTGAAATATCGAGTTCTTAATGCTTGCTGGACCATATTCAATTTTTCTTCAAAGAGCTCTTATGTCAAGCTACTAATTGACATCGGAGAAAGGTAGACAGGAAAAAAATATGGTTAGATTATAAATTTTGATTCCATGAGAACGGAACATACGTTAACCTGATAGCCTACTCTATGTTATTTATACACAGCTTTGAAAGTGCGCACTACCGTCACTAAATATACGATCATTATGAATAACATATTTTTTTCATAGAATGATGGATTAATAATATTTGGCATTGTAACGTGAAGAAACTTCCCCTTTAATCGAGGTCGTGTCCGTATGCACTGATATAGTCCATATTAAATGTGTGTGTTTCACTCGAATGCGGTACTTATAACTTACAGTAATTCATTATGATGAAGTGTTTTCACGATTTACAAAGCGCCATCTATAGCCATTTATTAGATTTAATTGTCGGCCTAACCGTGGTTCTATTTACATATACCACCAGGCTGTGACATGTACTGTGTATTTTTTGTTGTGTGTCTTGAGTGTCGTAAAGATAAATGAGTGAAATAAACTAATTGATAAGGTAAGACAGAAAATATTCATAATATTAATCTACTGGAAACAAAAATCGTGTATGGTGACTATTTACACTATTCAGGTCTCCAAAATAAGCCTATATGTGAGCTGTCGTTACACAATGAATCTTGTGGTACGAAAAATGAAAAATGAGTTATTGATATATTTAGATAGATGAATATAAGCTTGATTTTGCTGTTTAAATTAGGTCGAGTAAAACCGGAGTAAGATCATTTTAAAATTCAGATGTCTAAATAACATACTTAAGAGAAAATCGCCTGTAACGATAAAAAATTGATAAATTTTGGGTTGTTTTCTTATTAATCTTGAAAAATAGCACAAAATGTGCCTCAAAAACATAATTACAATAAGTAACTCAAATCGGAACTTTTGCTGCTACATATTATTCAGAAAAATTGAAACTCAATTTTTGTCGAAATATCGCTTCAGATATATTTTCTTGAAAATATCAAATTGACCAGTCATACCACAAGACTCATTTTGTCTCGACAGCTCACATATATTCGTATAATGATTATATTAAAATGATAATTACGATAATAATAATAGACATAGTTATTAGTAATATATATTATTAACAATAATAATTATAATAATATTAATGATAATAATGATGTAAATAATTGAAATAATAATAATAATAATAATATAATAATAATAATAATAATAATAATAATAATAATAATAATAATAATAATAATAATAATAATAATAATAATAATAGCATTTTTGTGTGATATATTATTATTCATTGACATTATATAATTGTATTTTTTATGAATTTATAAACCATTACGGTACACGAACTCTGTATGCTAAGATCTACATTATTTTCTCTCATTTCTGTTTAAAACCAAACACCTGGATTAGTGTTGTAAACGATCTACTCTCCAAGCGAAGTACGAACATGACGATAATCCAGGAACTTACTGGTGCGAAGAAAGATAATGAAAATGGAACGAATGTAGCTCTTGTAGTGGGATCTTCTATGGAGAATATCTCAGCGCACGGTATCCCTAACATAAAGCGGGCTCAGACCCAGACGAGGCGTCTTTTGTGGGTTTGCGCTTTTCTAGTATCATTTTCTGTATGTGTTTGGCAGATTGTATCACTCTTAAACGCCTACTATGCACGACAGATTACTACTAATATGGATATCAAAAGTGTAACTAGCCTCGTCTTTCCTGCCATTACTATTTGTAACATGAATGGGATGCGATATTCTTACATCAAGACTCAGAGTGAATTAAACAAATCACTAACTACAATAGCTTTAAAAGAGGTACGTATTAAAGTATTTTATGCAACGTGTGTCTTAGTTTCACCCCGGTAGATCAAGTGTATATGTAAATTGCTGGGAATTAAGCTAGTACACTTATTGACTTACTGTAAACGACAGGAATTGTATATTTTTTGTATTGTTGGTTCTTCTGTAAATTGCCACATTTTGTTAGACTTGGAAAGGTGCCAATTAATTAAGCATAGTTATAAGTTTACTCATGATTTTTGTCTCACACTTACTAAATACTTGTATATTTTGATTTGTAGTACCCTAAAGGGAAACTGGCAAAACACAATGTGATAATGAGGGGCTACACAATGAACAATAAACACGTCAGTTGGATTTCATTTCAATTCAATTCATTTGTTTTGTCATTAAAAAGTCTTTAAAATACAGAGACAAACGAGAAAACATGAAAAATACAAAAGAAACAAGAACAAAATTATACACCATTGCCAGATAAAAAAGTAAAATTAATTACTGTTAGGTCGCTATCTAAAAAGGTGTTTAAAAAACGAAATTGCTTACGACGAAATAAATTTATTTTTAAATTATGATTAAGAAAAAGTTCTTTACGTTGGAAGGTAAAAAGAAGCAATTCTTGTGTTGACTTCTCATAAAACGGGGATTTTGTACCTACGAATTTTTATTCTTTAAACACAATCGAATAGGCCTACGTCTCGTAAAAGTCTAACACGTCTGAGTCCCCTGAGGCCCACTCCTGGACCTCATCACCGGAGAACAAAGGGGCCCTCAGCCATGTACGCACGGCCCCCTCGTTTGGCGCATCATACCAAAGCACCCAGAGTCTCGGCTAACGTACTTGTACTTTATATTAAAGCGAAACAAGTATCAAGATTGGGGTGATACTAATCTGGAAAACCATGAGATCTACTTCGACATGATCAATGTAGTGACGGAACACGCCGCTGCATTACCGTATAAAGACCGAGAGATCACAGGTCACAATCTTTCTGAAGCAATGTTGTCTTGCACTTTTAATGGATATCCATGTTTGCCAAGGTAAGAACCGGCTGCAGTCAGTGTCGTAATGTGACTGTTTGGAACCATTGCCCTTACGGTGAAATTTCCCCCAGCCGTATATTAAGAACGAATTAGCAAAGGTACCATGTTCATAAGTTGTTCTCGTTTTGCTTATGACAGTATTGACATCATGGAAATATCTCATATCTTTGCTTAAACCAAGATTAATCTTCTTTTTATAAAAAAAAAAAAAACAAACAAACAAACAAAAAAAAACATTACGTAAATAATACTAACACGAACATACGGGTTTATTTTTTTAAATGAAAATTTATCAAAGATGTAAGCTTATATACATCTCTTTTAATTAATAATTACCCTAGGAAGATAAACACACAATAATAAATTATTTCTGTTCTCAGTAATTTTACATATAATTACAATTACCTGTACGGTAATTGTTATACTTTCAACGACGGAAAGAACTTCCCAGTTGTAAACAGCACCAGAGCTGGACCACTCTATGGTGAGTATGATTTGAGATTTTTTTGTTGTAGAGTAAAATTATTATTTCATCTACGCTCATAGTTCTAAATTATTGTATTTTACAATTAATGTGTATACATTGTAATATCTTGCCAATCACCTTAATGGGACGCATCAGTTGTTAACGTCAGAGCCACGACCAATGTTTTCCAACATCAGCGTCGTTACTAAGTTTATATAAAATACAGATTAATTTTTTTTTACATATTTTTACAAATTTACTGCCAAAATTCCAACTTACTTGTAGCCGGTTTAAGCCTAAAATACTGTTCATACAATCACATTTTTATTTGACAAAAAACTGGTGTAAGCCCATATATCTATAATCATGATGTACCTATATATGTTCATGATGTGATGTCATTATGGCCAATATTTAGGCATGTCACATGTTATTGTCAAATTTAATTTGATGGTCTTGACGAAGCTTAAATTATTTATGTGTTATAGTGTAGTGTACACTTATACTCAAGACTTGAAAAACGTTTCTATTGTCATAAAAATATGTTATTATTTATGACACCTATTATTTTTATTAGTTTAATTTTTATTTTCATAGAGAAATAAAAACTATTAAATTAATATCAATTTAATATACTATATAGATATAACACGAACAATAAATAAAAAAAAATTAAAAAAAAGTAAAGAAACAAATAAAATAATATACAGTAAAACCTCGAATTGAAGCTTTAGGCTTCTTTTTTTATGAACTTTGGATGAGCTTATTTTCGATATGGACTTGCTTACAAGATGGGCTTCTTTTCTGGGCTACTTTTGCAAAGAGGCGGCCTCTTTTCAAAATGAATACTGTAATTTTTAGAATTAGTACTATAAAACAATAAATAGAGTCACTGTAAAATCAATCTGCGTCGAGCAGTGTATTAACGGGCATAATCACATAAACTATTGTATAAATGAACATTTATTATCTATTTTCTCTTATATATATACATATATATAAAACATGAAGAGGAGTCCACGTGTGTTCATATGGATAATAAAGAAGAAAGTAAAACAGGAAACGGAGTAGACTTTAGAACACTATTTTATTAAAACATGAATATTTCGACCTGACCTCAGGTCCTCTTCAGCATGACTGATTAACATTATGACAAAGTTGGAACAATACAATACAATAATACGGTATCTA